TTCGTCGCAGAGCAATGATGTCACCGGATCAGCACACGATGTCTCGCGAGAAAGAGATCTACTATCTGTTGTCAATACACTACGGCATATTTGTCTTCCGGCGCGACACACGATCGACTTCCCCCTTGATGTCGAAAAGGCGATCAGACTGCCGTCATGTGCGGATACGCGAGAGAACACGACGATACAGTTCGTACACTCGCGTTATTATTTCGTTCGAAGGGCGAGACGGAAAGAGATAGATAGAGAGAGAGAAAGAGAGAATAGAGAGAAAGAAAGAGGAAGAGACGCGGCCGAATTTCCTACCCGACAGCAACTAACCCGATCCCGTTCCGCTACTCCTCCGAAGTGTAGCGCACCTCGAGCGTATCACCGCGCACTGACTGCTCCCGTCGTTCACCAAGGCGATAAACAAACTCGCCACCTTGCCTTTTCCACGCCGCGGCTCTGCGCACGCTCACCTACCCACCCAGCGGGCTCTCGCTCCCACCTCACGGCCACTGTCGCTCCCACTCGCACAGATCCCGGCGTCGCGCTCGCGGTCCTCGTCTGACTGAATCGCCCACTGTGCGCGCTCCGCCGTCTTACCTCACGAGCTGCGCGCGCATCTTCTCCCTCCCCCTCCACCGACTCGCGCAGGCACGTCGCGGCTGCTGACGCAACGCTGCTGCCATCTGTGCTCCGTTTTGTTTACTAACATTTTCTACCTACCTAATTTGCATATTTCGTCCAAATAATATTTCGCAACTGCTTATTCTTAATAATGTTGTATAAATAGAACGATTTATGCAAAATATGCAGCATATTAACGAGAGTATTATATAGCATTGCTTAATAAACACAATGTGAAAAATTATTAAGATATATATATATTAATGAATTATATATATTCTCTAACTACTTGTTAGATTAATATACATATGAAATTAATGTGACCAACGAAGAGATTCGGATCATGTTTATTAGTAATAAAAACAAAACATTTATGTATAATTAAGGACCGATATAATTAATTTTATGACATACCTATGATGATATGACCACATATTTCATTTTCGCTGAATTTCGACAAGACGAAAATGGCGGAAATAGGTGCAGGATTTCGTGCGGAATTTTAGGCGAAATAATCGATATCAAAATTGTCGCATCGGTGTACGATAACAACACTCGTATTACAGCGAACGTCTGATATTTTGTTATTGAGCATAACTTTTCCCGCGAGATTAATATTTACACAGTAGTTACGAAAAATACGACGCGATTCGAACGAGCCGTCCGCCGCGACGAAACTCACGATACGATTTGAAATTATCTGCGATTGCGATTAAGTGGACGCTACAATTGCTTCCAATGCATCGACCAATCGGGATAAAGAAATTTTTATTCTTTTTTTCTGATTGGTCAATCAACGCTTCGAACTATTTCTAGTGTCTTCCCGATCGCAACCTAAGGGCCGTTTCACGTGTCGCGCGACAAATATTTTAAGCGCGATGATTGGCTGCAATATAGGGAATTCTTGAGTCTCTATTTTGTAGCCAATCAATGTGCTTGTAAAGTTTTGTCGTACGACATGTGAAAAGGCACTGTGTCATCTCGATACTTTAGGCTTATTTTCTGTTCCTACACTATAATGAACTAATGCACACTGGTGCAATAATTTAGAGCGAGACAAAATATACTTGTCTTATTCACAATGTCGAATTTTTTTCAGGCAGAATAAGATTCCTAATTATTCAACATAAAAATAACACTCTTATATTTTTCTGAGACATCCTTTTCTAAATATATCAAAAATCGTCTCAAGCAGAATGAACCTAATTATTTAACATAAAATAATATTTTGACATTTTGTTTAAAAGATGTTTTGTTAAATACCAGAAATAGTTATCGAGAAGTAAATAAATTAACTGCACAATATACAATAATGTACAGTGTACATTTTCCAATACCAGAAATAACTAAAATATATCTTTACAAAAATAAAATAATTAAGTGATATAAAATAATTCGAATATAAAACAGATAATGGTATGTATGAGAAATAGTCGAGAAGTAAATAAATTATAACTACATATCCAGATAGCACCATGTCTAAAATGCACGCATAAGACATCATTAAGAAATCTTTAAGGCATCTTTAAGAAATCTTATGATATATCCCAAAGACATCTTAAAGACATCTTAAAGATGTCTTATGGGTGCATTTTGAATGGTGCTATCTAGGTAACATATATACAATGTGCAGTGTACATTTTCCAATACTAGAAATAACTAAACTATTTTTGCAAAAATGAAATAAAGTAAATAATATGAAATATTTTAATTCAAATATAAAACAGATAATAGATGTATCAGAAATAATCGAGCAGTAAATAAATTAACTACTACATATAACATATATATATATACAATGTATACAGTGTACATTTTCCAATACTAGAAATAACTAAAACTATCTTTGCAAAAATGAAATAAAGTAAATGATGTCAAATAATTTAATTCGAATATAAAACAGATAATAGATGTATCAGAAATAATCGAGAAGTAAATAAATTAACTACTACATATAACATATATACAATGTATACATAGTGTACATTTTCCAATACTAAAAATAACTAAACCCATACAGCACCGATAGATTGCAAAAACATTACAACAATCTTTCACCGCAATATTGCAATATTGCAAATTCACTGCAAAATGTTGCTACATCATTGCTGTTGAATTGCAGCAATGTTAAAATGTCCGCTTTTTGGAAGATTGCAACAAAATATTACAACAATATTGCAATGTTATGAATTTGCAATAATGCATTGTTATTGCAACCATAATCTAATGTTGCATATACAGGTATATACATGTAAATAAATCATTAATAAAAATACGTTGTAGTTAATTTATATATATTACAATATATAAATTATAGAATTTGGATTACATGCAATATTTCCGAAATATTAATGTCATGTTGCTACAAGTGTGCTGGAACTTTGTGCACCTATATTTCTGCAATGTCTTTATAATGTTGCATTGCAACTTGCAACATTGCAACGTTGCTGCAATATAATTGCAATAATCTGTGCTGTATGGGAACTATCTTTGCAAAAATGAAACAAAATAAATGATATCAAATATTTTAATTCGAATATAAAACAGATAATAGATGTATCAGAAATAATCGAGAAGTAAATAAATTAACTACTACATATAACATATATACAATGTATACGTTGTACATTTTCCAATAGAAATAACTAAACTATCTTTGCAAAAATGAAATAAAGTAAGTGATATCAAATATTTTAATTTGAATATAAAACAGATAATAGAGATGTATCAGAAATAATCGAGAAGTAAATAAATTAACTACTACATATAACATATATACAATGTATACAGTGTACATTTTCCAATACTAGAAATAACTAAAACTATCTTTGCAAAAATGAAATAAAGTAAATAATGTCAAATAATTTAATTCAAATATAAAACAGATAATAGATGTATCAGAAATAATCGAGAAGTAAATAAATTAACTACTACATATAACATACATACAATGTATACAGTGTACATTTTCCAATATTAGAAATAACTAAACTATCTTTGCAAAAATGAAATAAAGTAAGTGATATCAAATATTTTAATTCGAATTAATATAAAACAGATAATAGATGTATCAGAAATAATCGAGAAGTAAATAAATTAACTACTACATATAACATATATACAATGTATACAGTGTACATTTTCCAATACTAGAAATAACTAAAACTATCTTTGCAAAAATGAAATAAAGTAAATAATGTCAAATAATTTAATTCAAATATAAAACAGATAATAGATGTATCAGAAATAATCGAGAAGTAAATAAATTAACTACTACATATAACATACATACAATGTATACAGTGTACATTTTCCAATACTAGAAATAACTAAACTATCTTTGCAAAAATGAAATAAAGTAAACGATATCAAATATTTTAATTCGAATTAATATAAAACAGATAATAGATGTATCAGAAATAATCGAGAAGTAAATAAATTAACTACTACATATAACATATATATATACAATGTATACGTTGTACATTTTCCAATATTAGAAATAACTAAAATGTTTTTGCAAAAATAAAATAATTAAATGATATAAAAAGCTTGTTTCCTGTTCCTACACTAATGAACGAGTGCGCACTGATGCAATAATTAAATTAGAGACAAAATATATACTTTTCTCATTCTAACTTATTGTTGCACCAGTGTGCACTAATTAGTTATTAGTACCCCAGACAGCACCAAATCCAAAATCGGCGCATAAAATATCTTTAAAATATGTTTACATATTACATATTACATATGTTTACATTCCTGTACAGGAACAGAAAACAAGTCTAAAATATTTTAATTTGATGAATATAAAACAGATAATAGTACGTATCAGAAATAGTCGAGAAGTAAATAAATCAACTGCATAACATATATATAATTAATGTACAATGTACATTGGCCAATACTAGAAATAACTAAAATATCTTTGCAAAAATGAAAATGATCATATATATATATATATAAATTTAAAGATTAATTTGAATATTAATTCGAAAACATATAATAGTATGTAAGATAATTATTAATCAACATATAAATTTAACTTTTTATTTAACTTTTAATTACTTTATCATGAGTATATGCAACCTCTTTGTTACACATTGATATTTTGTGTTATCGTATTTATTTTCATTATTCATAGTTTATACGATGTTTTTTTACTCTTTGTCTTAATTGTCAATTAAATGTTTTCAACCCTTTAATGCCGAATTTAATCTTAATGTCATTGCGCGTGAAAAAATTTTAGTCGTGATCGTAAAATGGAGCATCTTCAACATGGTAAAAAAATGTTTCGCTGTGATTGGTCGATTTCTTTAAAGTTACTAGATGGTAACGACAAAAATGTTTTCTCACCGCAACTCTACGTTAGTTCGCGACTTCTTCTCCTGACAGCGCCACCATCACGCAAATTGTAGTTGACTCTCTTTCATTGCATATATCGTGCCTCTTCTCGTATACAAGTCAACATGGTGAGTAAGATATTGTGAAATATTCCAATTTTAATCTGTAAATATTGCAACAATCCGCAAAATCTCGCAGAAAATCTATGCATTTTCGTTTCATGAATTATTCACTTAAGCCGAAGATGCAAATATTAATTGATTAAACGTTGTTGTAATAATAGAAAACTCGCAACTTTAGTTTTAGGGTTACGTTCGAGTTTTGATCTGACGTCACAACAATAACGGATGAAATATATTGCACGAGATTCTTGACTTAATTATAATGCTTTTTGTAATTTCTAGAGTCGTGTCAGAACAAAGACGGTCAAAAAGGCCGCAAAGCTAATTATCGAGAAATACTATCCACGTCTCACCTTGGACTTTCATACGAATAAAAGGATATGTGAGGAAATCGCTATCATTCCCAGCAAATCTTTACGCAATAAGATTGCGGGGTAAGTACACGATAATATCAATTTCAAAATAAAAATATTCGTATTATTTCGTCAAATAATCAATACTAAATTTTATACTTTCTGCTTCAGTAAAGAGAGTGAAGATAATTACTTGTAATTTTAATGTTCAGCGTAATAGCATAATATTTAACATAATAAATAACTACTATATTTTTATATATAAATTTCTAAACTTTGTATCGATTGCTTAATTCTTATTTTTATAATTTTATACAGGTTTTCAGTTGAGCGATCTTAAGATTTTCAGTAATAATAATAGTACAATAATTAACTATCGTAAAAAGTTTTATAATTATATTTTAACATATAATTTTTATAGTATTACGATAATATAACACAATTTCATATATAAATTAATTTGTGATGATCGCTGAATTCATTATTTTGTTTTTCTTTATCAAGCGACTCAAATAAAATACCAATACGACAACTGTAGGTATAATGTATTAACTATTTTTATTATTATTAGATTTGTCACTCACCTGATGAAAAGGCTTAGGCATAGTCAGGTACGTGGTATTTCCATCAAACTGCAGGAGGAAGAGAGGGAACGCAGAGACAACTATGTTCCTGAAGTTTCTGCTTTGGAGCACGACATTATTGAAGTCGATCCTGAGACCAAGGAAATGTTGAAGATGCTGGAGTTCAATAACATCACTGGACTTCAGTTGACGCAGCCTGTTCCACAATTCAGCAGACGATCTTAAGAAAATTTACTTCGCTTTACACTATAAACAAAATGGTTGGTCCTGCACTTTTTAAAAAATAAAACTGCGAACCAACACTCACGAGTTTGTACTACGTGTCTTTTCCACACAACACAAGGTATTTTCATAAACCTCAATAATCATTCCTAATCTTGTCAATTTTAGTAGATAGTATTAGTAGTTAAATGCTTTAGTAGTTTATTAATAGTCTCTATTAGTCTCTATATTACCTTCAATCATTGAAAGAAATATTTATTTAATTGAAAATAATTTCGATCGCAAATATTTTATATTTATTCAGTCATATATATTTTCAACGTTGAATATTGAAAATGATACGATATACAAATAGTCTGAAAGGAAAGAAACAGCTGATACGACGATGCGCGTGCGCTCAGTTCGCCATTTTAATCGCGTTGGAGACATGCAGAAGCATTATTCGTAAACCGGAGTACTGCGACGAAAAAAAAAAAAAAAAGCGCTTAAAAGATCCTGTCCACCGCTCGATTCCTATGTAAAGGCATAATCATCGTCGTACATGATCCTGTATTCTGTAAATCCACGTCACACACATAGATGTACAGATAATCTCGTCGCACATGTGCGCGCTCATCAGGGCCATCGTCGCAGCTGATCGCATCGAGTTCCTTTTTTTGTACCCTTTTCCGATTCGATAATGTCTAACGTCCTCTAGCCTTCGACATCCTCGCCGGAGGATTGCGCTGCCGTTTCAGAGAAACTGGTCCTGCCGGCTCGCGACGTTTCTTACAACATCGTGCGCGATTCTACATCAAGGAGAGGGACAGGAGGGTTTACATCCCTGACGTGTCACATCGGCCAGGTGCAGCTCGAGCATTTCTCAGCGCCCCAGCAAGGGTGTCTCCTATCTCTCTCTCTCTCTCAACGATCCGATTCTCTAACAATGCTATTCTCGAATACGAGGGAAGGGAAACGAGCCGTTGCATCGAGGCAACCCGCTTTCTCCGGAGGATTTATCGAATGCATCTCCACCCAACGGAGCGTACCCGGTCGCGTGATCACGGAGCTATCTCATCCTCCATGCGCAGTGATTTTACGCGGCGACGAGACGTAATAAAGTCGGCTCGATAAATTCGCGCTCGCGACGAAAAGCGTCGTCCTGCGCAAACCCTGATTTCGGCCCTGATGAAAGGCTGCGCGCGACCTAGCGCGATCCAAGGCTAGGCAAGACCTAGCGCAACCTCGCAGGAGGAAGAGAGAAGGCGATAGCGGAAGAAAGGGCGCGACGTGAGCAGGAAGAGAGAGAGAGAGAGAAGCTGTGACGCTGCAGGCGGTGCGGAGACGCGGGGACAAAGAGGAAAGCTCGTGCACGACCGACGAGAGTCAGTCGACTATTAGTGGTCTGCGCCTGTGGAGGTGGGCCGGCCACCGCAGAACCGAGCTCGGGCGCGCTCGGCCGCACTCGGCCGCGCTCGGCGCCACTCGGCCGTTCTCTTCGCGCTCCTTCGTCCGTCCGTTCGTTCGCGCTCGCTCGTCAGTACGTCGGGAGCCGCGGAACGGGAACGACGCTCGCAACATCAACTCCCACGGTTCGTGTCCGTTTTTATTTTTATTATATATATATATATACACACATATATATATATATATATATTATTAAAGGCGACGTAACAGTGTCCTCGCCATCATCGCGCTATGTGACGGATATCGCGGGACACCCTGGTGTCTCCTTCGCTCGTACTCGTTCCCTGCCCCCTCCAACGACGCGCCTCGGGATCCCTCGCCCTTTACCGAGACACCTACCTACCTCCCCTCCCCCATCCCTCCCCTCCCCCCTGACCGATCTTCGTCCACCGCCCCGCTGTGGAAAAAGAGAAAGACGAACTGCCTCGTGAACGCTCGCACCACAACGACGACGACGACGACGACGACGAGGCGGCCACGAGGGCCTCGTGGAGAAACGTGCCTGGAGGAAACATGGAGTGCCCGCACCTCGCTCAAAGCGTGCAATTCGGCGATGACAACGTAGAAGGATCGGGCTGTGCTGTGAAGGATTTGCCGTTCGTCTGCGCAGGTAGGAACTTGTACAAAGCCTCGGGAAAGAAAGAGAGAGAGAGAGAGTTGTCTACTGATTCTAAGCTAACTCGAGCGAGAAAGAAAGAGATGGAGCCGGCTCTTCTTTCTTCCTCGATTCTATCTCTCTTACATGGAACGCCGCGGTTCTCTCTCTCTCTCTCTACATCTATCTACGTGTCTATCTTTCCCCATCTTCGTCCCTTTCTCCCGTATATGTCGTGGCACGTTCCGTCTCTCTCCATCTCGTGACCCAGGCCCCGGCCGTTCCTCTCGCGGCCTTGAGCCATCGCAAGAGCCGAGACGAGACGGTGCGAATCTCGCCGCTCGTTTCCCTCGGGAAAAGCGCAGACAGGTCGCTCTCCGTTGCGCATATTTTCGCGAACGCCCGCTATCTCTCTCTTTCTCTGACGCGCGAAGCAGCAACGAGCGGTATCGAACGCATACGTGTGTATTTTTCGCACACACACATATATATATATATATATATACAAGCTCTCTTTCTCCAGGGTGATGTGCACGCGTGAGATGCGAGCGAGCGTGCAAAGTGATATAACGATGTGCATGTGTGTGTACGTGCTCTCTCTCTCTCTCTCTCGTGTTCGCGGTCCCATGGCTCGTTCCGCGCGGCGTGGTTAGGTGATGGCGATATGGTGGTGTTGGTGGTGGTTGTGTGCGCGTGTGCATCGTCGTTGTCCTGCTGGGAGTTCTCAGTATGCGGCGCGCGGCCGTCATTGGAAAATCAATACCAGACGGCACTAATCAGCTGGCCCTAAGACACTCCGTCATTGAAATTCGCCGGTGAAGCTAACTGACACGATCCTCTTCTCCGAGACGACTCGCCGTCTTCCTCCTCTCTCGTGTCGAACACTCGAAAATGTCCACGGGCGTCCACAGAATTTTTTTTTTTTTTTTAGCATAATTAATTTTATTTTTGTATCAAATATGCATAAATTTTTGCGGTGTTTGTTCAAGGGGAGGAAATTCTGAATGTAAAATATGAAAATGTAATATTAGATGTTGATCGATCGAAAGATCGATGTTCTACCCGAAGAAGGGTACCTGAAGAATGGATGTCTGTATAATGGATCTTCGTCCTTCGAGTCAGCCAGTGACATTGTGGTCGTGCTCGCTCCGAGTTATCGATTTAAAGATACACGGGCAATTATATATATAGGCAGCCGTCATTATAGAGGGGTGCTATAGAGACACGGAGGCCGTTGCCATAAACATTATAAAGTTAAGTTTCGATCGATCGATTCCTCCTTCCCTGGCCTCGTAGATTTTTCCAGGTTTATTTTTAGCTGCGGAATCCTTAAAAAATACGTCATTAAGCGTCGAACGACGATGATTCATATATTATGTCGAACCGAAAAAAAAAAAAAAAAAAACACGTAAACTCGCGCTATCGCTCGTTTACAGAGATTAGAAAACTTGAAACGGCGGCGGATAAGGGTTATCGCGGGCCGTTGTTAAAAATGACGGCGTTCACGAGAGACAATGCATGATGGAGCCCGGAGAGACTCGGGGTGGGAGAAAAGAGAGCAGACCGACGACGACGAGTCGCCCTCGGAGGCCATGAGATCCACGACGAAGGAGAAAGAGAGGAGGGCACCTTATTCCCCGAATCCTGGTGCAATCCTCTCCGCGCTTCTCGAGCTCCTGCCTTTCTCTTTGCGCGACCTCGGGACTATATTTATCCGAAACGTACGTGTTTTTTCTTCCCTTACGCGTTTACCGTCTTCCTCCCTTGTCCTGAGACCCCCCATTAATCGGCGCAATTGAAAAGCAAAGTACGCCAACCAGAGACTCCACCCGAGTAAGCTAATTCCGTTCGGTGATTCGCGCTTCTTGCTTTCGTGATACCGTCGATATCTTATGTAAGCCGATGCCTGGCATCGTTTGCGATGTCTGCTCTTGGAGTGACAGTGAAATATCTTTCCTTTTTTTTCTATTTTCTTCCCCATGTCTAATTGCACGGAGAAGGAAGATGTAGAGCATTGCAATTTCTGCACTGAAAAAAAATGTTCGACTAAATATTATTTTGTTGATTGAACATAAAAAATATTTAAATTGAATATAATATATTAAATTTAACACACAAAACGCGTATATTTGACTTTAATATTAATATATGTTCGATTAACAAAATAGTAATTTAGTTGAGAGGTTTAGTCAAATTAACAAATTTTTTTTTCAATGCGCTAATGATGAATTATTTGATTAGTTTCTTTAAATCGAAAAGTAAAAGCAACGATGACTCTGTCCAGTATCTCTGAGTAATCAAAGTCCAAAGTAAAGAAATAAATAATGAGTTTCGTCGGACGAAAAATATACTTGCGTTTATTTTTACGAAAAGATAAAGCAAAATATGATATAATAGAAAAACTAAATTGGACACACATACTTTCTCTCTACCGACAATGAGTTAATTTACAACGTTAATTGCTCTTCTCAACGCGAGCGAAAATTCTCATTTACACAATCGATTTCGTCGAGTCAATTATCTTTTTTTTTTTTTTATACGAACGAACAGAATATAATTCGCGATTTGTATGACGTCGGTTGCGATTTTCGAGCCATAGTTGCTCGTTACCAGCTAAAGTTGCGGCGCGTCTTTCTTCTCGCCGCGACGAAATGATGGAGGGGATGAGGTATCGGTAGGAAGCGTAATACACAGTCAGACCGCGAAAGAAACAGGCTGCCATCAATTTCGGGCGTGGGCAACGAAGGGACGTGGATCGAAGAAGCTCGAGATGACATTAGAGCGAGAATTTGCTATTAAATGATTAATTTCCAACGTCGCGCGAGCACTTTGACATTTGTAGCCACAATTTATTAGGACAATTTCTTAATTGCATCTTAAAATCTCTTTTTTATATGTTGAAATATATATTTTTTATATATTTCCCACAAGAAAAAATATTAACATGTACATATTAAAATTAATCAAACATTTTATATCTTATTGTGGTAGATATTAATCAGAGAAACTGTTATAAAATTCTTCCATTTTTTAATTACGTTTAAATTACATCTTAAAATCTTTTTAAATTCGAGTTGTAGGAGAATAAATATACTTATATAGCAATGCAATGCGAAACGGTGTGATTGAACATTATATTAAAGATAAAAATAAAAAGTTATTCTCTCCTCCAAATATGTACTCTATTAATGATCTTGGTATATTTTCGTTGACCTGAGTTCTTCGATATTTTTCGGTGAATAAAAAACAGTTCTTTATTTATCCGTATTTACAAATGTGTGCGTTGTGTATATAAAAATCGCGAATGTTTTTCTGCGATTATCTCTCCCTTTCGCAAACTATATAATCGTACTGAAGACAATAATGATTATTATTATCGACCAGATTGAATCAGAGAATAGAATATAGTTATAATATTAAGATAGACAAAAATATTAAAAAAACAAAATGAGATTATTGCTCCATTGTTGTTCAACATAAAAGTTCATGAGAGAATTTCGCAAGATGGTGTAATTTCAATGTAATGCTATAAATCGGCAAGAGAAAGATGTGCGAACATGAATCAAGCTTTATCTTACTTATTGTTAAATGGGAACGAAGTTATCTATTAGTTAATGGAAGAAAGAGAGAAATTGAGGGAAAGAGAGAAATGCATAAACATCCAAATGTCCGCATCAAATTGCATACATAAACAATAAATATTATGTCTATTATGCTTATCGGATGAGGAATAGCTAGCTGTTTGTTGTTGTAAATTCTAGCTCAAGTCTAGGAACTCGTAGGAAGAAAACTTTAGAGATAACTTCGTATCTGATAATACGTAGACGCAAGAAATAACACACACGTACATGTACATATACAATGAATAGTACGTCGGTGTAGGAGATTGATACGTCACTGACAATGATGAGTCAATATTCCGACGAATGGACGGACCGACAGACGCGCACTTTCCTCTTCGTGGACGTTTGATTACTCAATGCGATGCTATCAGTGATTAGCCTCCGGGTCTATGGTACTTTCGGCGATCTGTCACCATGGTCATCTGCCAAGGATGACCATCGACACGCGGATATCGAAAAGGATCCATATATATATCTACTAGAATCCTTTCCAAAATTAAATACGAATTAAAAATGCATGAATTTTTATTCTTTGCAATATTTAAATATATAAAATTTTAATTTCTCCATTTTATTTGATATAAAAATTATTTATAAAAATCTTTCCTCAATGGTAAAAGTCGACCAAACTGCCAATCATTTAATATAAATAATTAGTTAAAATACAACGTTTCGGCTGTCATTGCAGCTCTTTTCACAAGTAAATCTATAAAAAGTTACATAAAAATTATTATAATTTTAATACATTTCATCGCAACAAATAATTATAAATTCATATACAAAAATTATTTATATTCAAAATTCTTATCTCTGTACTTGATGTTTAATTTATCCGTACAATACTTTCAACGTTGTATATTTTAGTGATCGTTATTGTAACATTTAGATTGACTATTTTCGATTTCTTTATAATAAATTTCATGACTCATCGGCAGATCACTCAGCAGAAACATTAATTGACAATAAAATACTCGTAGTATCGTATAAGGCGTATGAATCATATGTATATATGAATGACATTTCGCGAGGAGCAAAAAAGCATCGAGAAACTTTTTTTTCGAAACTTCCTCGTCGCCGCTCTCGAGGGTGTCGACGAGAGGACATCATCGCGTCCGCGATTAGCGTTGATTAGCGTCGCGAGAAACCGGGCGCGAGAGCGCGGTTCATGCTCGACGAATCGCGACGTATCCGGCGGCGGATCGATTTAAATGCCTCGGCGGAATCGCGTCGCCGTGCGTTCCGCGCCGGCTGAGAGCGAGCGAGAGACAGGGAGAGATAGGGAGAGAGGGAGAGAAAAGTATCGCCCCTTACGCACTATAAAAGGACCGCGCCGCCGCCCCTCTTCCGCCGCCGCTTTTCCTGCTGTTGCTGCGCCGGCTGCTGTTGCTAGTGCAGGCCGCCTGCCTGCCTTCGGCTACACGGCATTGCAAAATCGATAATCGCGCCGTTGCTAATCCGATAGCTCGTTGCGAGCGAGAGAGAGAGAGCGTGGACGCTTATTCGATACCGCTAGCGCGGATACTTTGCCCCTGATATCGAGCACCTTTGACATTGACAGCTCGTCTTTTTTATGGTGGATATGCCGAGGCGTTGATAAACCTTCCGAGTAGTAGGATAGCACGTGTGGGTGCATGTGTTAAAAATATCGTCAATAATTCTTGGGTGATAAGATTTTTGTATAATGTATGCACAGGGAGTATCTAAATAAGTGCGAAAAATTTTAGATTATTCTTTGTCGTAAATTAAGCGGGGTTTCTTATATAAAAATTACATTTTTTTTTAAATTAATAAATATCCTTTTGATCAATGGAAAATATCCATCAAATTTCATTTTTTTAATTTGTCTGAAATTTGAGGGAAAAAATAAAAAAAGTTCCCTTTCTTCAGGGAAGGGTAATCTTAATTTTCGATAAAGAATCATCTCCTAAAATTTTTCGCACTTGAATATACCCTGTATGTATAGAGAAGCGTGTGATAAGATTTATAAGATATTATTTTATATAAATATGAGCGAGTAAGAGAAAATGCTATTTTCTTAATGATTAATAATCTTTATTTATGATTAGTTGCTCATACTTATTTTATATAATATAATGTATAATATACGGAGCATTTATCTAAAAATCTAAACATTCATATCATTTCACTTCAATTAAAATTGCACGAAGAGAATTTTCTCTTGCAAGAATTTATATAGAGGGAAGTATTGAAAGAATTTTATGAGTTTCTCTGATTGATATTTACCACAAAATAAAAAATAATATGTACACAATAAATTTGATTGTGTACATAGTAAAATTAACCGAACATATTTTATATCTTATTGTGGTATAGATATTAAGATTTTTATCTCTTATAAAATTTTTATAAAATACCACATTATCTCATACGATTACCATGATTCTCAGGGTAAATTCTAAGCGAAAATTTTATGTAATTATTTTAAAAGAAAATAATTCAGTTATAAAGATTTTGACGTATCAGCGATTTTAGCATCAACATTACATTTCTTCACTTAATTGCCTCTTTATGTAGACACTTTTGGAAATAATTAGAATTTTGAATAGGCGATATTCGATACGGAGTATGTCGGGATATCGATACACCTATATCTAAGGTATCGTGCTGTCATGGGCAAAGTTCTTTCCGCCACTCTTTCAGTGTATCGTGACTACTTTTTCGATCGTCGACTTTTGGGTGACAACGATGATGACATCGTTGACATAGGCGTGGCAGAATCGAACGAGTCGGAGAAAAACGAGACGAGGAAAAAATCTTGCTCGATACAGTCGTTTTTTCTCGAGCACGCACGAATATTTCCACCTGCTCAGATATACGTTAACGGTATTTCGCAACTATTAAAACGTATTCTCTTGCAATTCTCGTTTTTCTGGTTCATCATCGCAGATGCTCGTTCCTGATGCGTCGTACGCTGATGCAACATTCCGGAAAATACATAACTCTCGAAGCTTAATCAGCGACCGTTTCTCCTCGAGGATCGTCATCGGTGATTTGCGAACAAAAAAAAACCGCGAAATATGTGTTCGCGACACGTATGTAATCTCTCTTCGCGTATATCTCATATTTCTATCTCTTTATCTTTTCTTATATACGTAGCTCTTATCTTTTCTATAATCATAAATGATTCACGTGATCAGTGATTTTTAAGAGTATATCGCTAACAATTTTTAATGTTAAAATTGTAAAAGATTTAGAAATTTTAATTTAATATAATTTTCAACAAATTACATTTAAAAAATATATATTAAGTGGACATTTATATAGTATATTTCAGGACCGATTTTTTATTGAATACCAATTTTCTCATAAAATATTCCATGAAAGTGTCACACTTTTTAATATTTTTCAAATACCTTTGTCCCCCAACTTTGAAATTAAACGACGTGAAGAAAGAAATAATGTTTAATGTTAATAATAAGACTTTATATATTTAATTACTTCCCTCTTGTATTCGATGTCGTTATATTACGACAAACATTGTCATCGTAATAACTATTATTCCGACGATCCACGAGGAACATCCGCGTACACGAGGATACGGTTAGACCGATTCATTGAGCAGGCGGACATTGAATGAATGGACGAATGTCTGTGCGAACGACTTGGTGTAGTATATCGTGATCGACTGTAAAAATGTATGCATTTTTGGCTGATAACATTCCTCGTCACACATGTGCGTTTTGTCTCGCAAGAGGATGAGATGTTGACATATTTAGAAACGTATCGCCAACTCGCTGCAGCGATTTATTTTTCAGCTAATTGTTGTAATAAAAGGAAGGAGGTGTTAAACACACTTCTTTTCTAGTCCATATTTCAACGGATAATGAAAAAATCGCAACGATAATTGATATTTTTATTTCGTATACCTGACTCGGTTAATTAATTTTAATCAACGAATCTTATCTCTATAAATCATGCTTTTTTTTCTCACACACATACTCTCTCTCTATGTCTCTCTCTCTCTCTCTTTTATTTATATTTGTTGTAATCTGCAAGAATAACATCAGACACACAAAATGAATTCGAAATAAACATATCGCAATAGATAATAAATGAGCATTAATAAACATTAAAAATTCTTGACTTGTTTACTGTTTTAAACAGCTATATCAATGAATGATTAATTCATTAAAGAACTTATTTTCGCTCACTTTTAGTATAATTCTAAGAGAAAAATTTTAAACACACAACTATACGTATATTTTACTATGACATACTTTAAGAGCAAATGTTTGGGTAATAAAAGTTAAAATTTTGCTAATATCCAGATTTATATAGAGTTGTTATTTTGTAGAGACATTTCATAAAATTTTTTATCATATTTTTCTGTAAAAAAAATTGCAACTCAACAATGAAAAGAAAACATCTTTCCCTAGCAATTTTCACAAAATATTTGTACTTGCAAGCAAGATGTTTTTTCTTGAATTAAATTCAGATTAATTCTTACCTATTTTTTTCTTGCGAGGAGATTCTCGTGGCAACGAATCACTGATTAAAACGTGCCGATGGAGCACTCGGTGTGTTTTAAGGCTTCCTTACATCGGCAAACCGCGAAAATGAACACGACTCCCCAGATAGAAACGACCTTCGATGAGATCAGATTTCCTTGCACGGACTTTTGGCCGTTTCACTTTTCACACGTTCGCGCTTTTTAACCTCCGTTCTAGAAAATCGTCTCCCGTTCTCCATATTGTATAAGATTACACACCGTTGTTCGTGAATGCTAGATAATTGGTCTCCTTGAGAAAAATAAGAGAGAGAGAGAGAGAGATCATGCACGATTTTCGACGCAGACTCGCGAAATTGTATATGCTTTGCATATGTAAATCGATGACGAATTTACATCTACTCAAATCAGTTGATTCGAGTCATGTAATTATGAATGTTCTCCTTTCATCTTAACCGTTTATTATTTATGCATGATAATTAATTCATTTCTTGATTCTAATCCAATTTTTTTTTTACAAAATACCCGTCGAAAGGAATGAATGAGATCATCTACGAAATTATTTATTTTCATCCGTATACTCGGTTATTGTACTCGAGTTTCTTTCCCTAAACTTGTATAAATAATAAGTTTCTTGCTGTTTCTCGCTCGTGTCACCTTGATTATCATCGTGTTTTCTGGAGAGGTTTTCGAGTGGTCAAAAAAAAAAAGGGAGAAAAAAGCAACGAATCGCCGGGAATCCGAAGCCCGATGGAATTCCGAGACATTTCGCGATCGATCGACTGCGAAGGGGGTGTGTCGAACCCCCACTCGCCACCACACCCCTCTTTTACGCGCTCTCTCGAGAATTACGTAAGCTGAGACGAGCCGAAACGGCTGGGCCGACTCGTAATTTCGCAACCGCCAGATATATCATACCCTGCGACTGGACTGGTTGTCGATCGGTTCGTGCCAGATTGTCGAAAATCATTCCGAGAACAAATGCATCGATGCATTGTACGAACTGCATATGCGCATCATCGCGCAATTTAATCTGGCAATGGATTGAAAAAAAATTAATTGCAAAAAATTAAATTGCTCGTATGATATAAGAATACGTAATATGACGACGTCATCATGTGATTATGACTGTTATTATAATTTTCTGCATGTTTTTTGGTCTTACGTGGAATATTTTAGAATATCGCTGTGTCATCTGAAGCACGTATAAACATATATTAATATTGAATGAGCAAATTATTGTAAACTAACAGAATTTATATTTCCGTATGCATATATTCTCTCAACAATCTTTCAAATGCATTTTTATCATCTAGAAAAGTATATGATAGAAACAAGTGTACTTTTTTAGATATATAGATAAAATATGCATAATTTATTTGGATTTAATACAGCGAATGAATTAGAATAGAGATATTGTCTCGAAATCCATATATTCTTTTCTCCTCCCTATTAAAATTTTATATATTTTTTTATTAAAATTTTTATTTTCTCTTAGAATCTACCCTGAAAATCATGGTAATCGACAATATATAATAATATTGGAAGAATTTTCTAAGAATTTCTATAAATTAATATTTATTAGCACAATAAAAAATATTAATATGTACATAGTAAAATTAATCAAACATATTTTTTACATCTTATTGTGGTAGATATTAATCATGGAAACTGATAAAATTCTTTCAATATAGTCCCATGATTACCATGATTTTCCGGTTAATTAAAATCTGAATATTTTACACATTATTTTTCTATATTAAAGCTAATTTTTCCAACGCCACACGATATTTCTATTTGATTAACACAGTTATCGAGCTTATTCTGCAATTGTCATTAACATTTTATGTTCTTATCGTGTTTAGTGTGCGGCACCGAGAAGAGTCCCTGGCTCTGTCTGCACTGCGGGACCGTGCACTGCGGACGATACGTGGCGGGTCATGCGTTGCAACACTACGAGACTAATACTCAGCACTGCGTGTGCATAGACTGTGAGAGCCTGGCAGTATTCTGGTGAGTCCGACCCTTCTATACCCCTTTGCTTTCACCGCCTGCGCGTGCATCCCTTCCTCCTTCTCCCTCCACTGTGCATATACTTTGTGTAAACCGGTATAATTTCGGAGAGCTGTAAATTTTCGGTACGAGACACGCGAAAATGTGCCTTACGCCAATATATTATCGCGAGCTTTTATTATGTCACGAATAAATTGGTAGACTTATTAATTAAACGTCAAAATGTAGATAATTTTTTTTTTTATAATTTTGTGTTATATCGATTTCTTTTCACCGCAGAAATGCTAAATTGTGTCTCGTTTCTTGCAGCTACACCTGCGACGAATACGTGGTGAACGACACTACGAGCGGGCAGATCGAGAAGATACGGCGCGTCACCTTTCGCAAGGACGAGCACAAGGAGAATGACGAGAGCTGGAGTACGTCGCCGCCCGCGTCACCGCCGTCCTCGAGGACGCGCGACAGCGGCGGTGATCACGACAACGATCCGGACGCCCTTTGGAAGGCGGAGGTGGTCGTTAGAAATCTACGACCGAGAACGGCACGCAAGAGGCTACACTCGCTGGACGCCAGCAGCGCGGACAATCGGCCGGCCAAGCGCCGTAGTTCCAAGAGTACCAAAGAGAAAAAAGTCGTCGGGCTGAGAAATCTCGGTAACACCTGCTTCATGAACGTGGTGCTGCAGTCGTTCAACAACATCAGCCATTTCTGCGAGTACCTCACGCAGATGCCGTGCCTGGAGGGCATCGCGTTCGACGAGTCCACGGGGCCGCCCACGCATCGCGGTCGAATCGTCACGCCGGGACGCGCCAAGGAGATGTCCATGAGCGACGCCTTACTTGCCGAGGAGCTACGAAAGGTGCTGCTTGGATTAAGCCTAGGTGGCTCCAACGGCCAGGCCATATCGCCCGAATGTCTGTTTCTGGCCATTTGGAAGGTCGTACCGAGATTTCGTGGCTACCAGCAGCAGGACGCCCACGAGTTTCTCACCTACATGCTGGACCGGCTTCACACCGAGCTGTTGCAGCTGCTGCCCAGGCTGGGACACGAGCCTCTAGGATTGCGCGGCAAACAAAGCATCGTCACTGCCGTATTTGGAGGCACTCTTCTCAGCGTGGTAAGTTGACCCGACCCGACCCGACCTTAGACAAAGAGCCTCGATTGCGCGCGAAACGTGCCGTCCTTGCAGCCTATTTGGCAGGAAGGAATTTCTGCGCTCTCGAGAGACCGATGTCGCTTGCCAAAGTCACGTTCTTCTTCGTTTTTCTTCTTGGGAGAAGCGCGGACGAATTATGGATCGCGTTTCCTCGCGCAGGTTCACTGTATGAACTGTCGAACGGACTCGAAGACGCACGAGCCCTTCCAGGACCTCTCGCTGGACATACCGGACAGGCTGCAGAGGACTAGGACGAAGGAGCAGGAGGAAGTATGCAGTCTGACTTACAGTTTGACAAAATTCTTCAAAGTCGAGGAGTTGGCCGACAGCGAGCTCTACTTCTGCGACAACTGCATGGGCAAGCAGAGGTCTACCAAGAGGTTCTGGATACACAGGCTGCCTAACGTGAGTATCGTTTTCTTACTTTTTGGGGAAAACTATATGCAATCCAGTAAGAATAGAATCGGATAAAAAAAAAAAAGTATTAAAAATTTATTTTGAACAATTTCAATTTAAAAGTTGTGTATTTTTGCCCGAGTTAAATTTTTTCTGTATACCATTATATATTTCTACCGTCTCTCTCTTGATGTATCGATTTTTTAACGGTGCTCTAATTTTACTGGACGGCAATGCATTCGTAGACACGCGTGTCTCGATCGATATAGTTTGCACGAATAAGTGTGACCCCAAAAGCCAACTTTAATCGAATAAAAAAATATACACGTTCATACGTAGGACTTAATGATCGTGCATTCATGCTTTACTCTTGCTCTTTCCAGGTGTTGTGCCTTCACATTAAAAGATTTAGGTGGTGCAATTCCTATCGCTCGAAGGTGGACACGCAGGTGGATTTCCCGATGGAGTCTCTCGATATGTCCGCGTTCACAGTGCGCGGCGTGACCGGGACGAGATTGGGCGCTCAGAATAGTCATCTCTACGACTTGGCTGCCGTTATCGTGCACCATGGTTCTGGGTACGCTCTCCCTTAAATTGCTTTTAATTAAAATAAATTATTTGACGAGGAGAACATATCGCAATTTTCCTCAATAGTTGCAACTATCACGCGATGTTGATATTTGATAAGATAATATACACTTGTTCAATACGTTTATAATCTATAATTGGAAATAATATCTCTAGCATTTCTCAATGATCGTTGAATTGATACTCGCAAGTGCATTCTTAATTTTGAAAAGAAGGAAATTCTCGTGTTTATTTAAATTCGCAATTGCGTTAGTTTACCAATCGTTGCATCACACAATCATATATCCATAGATATTAATCTTTATTAGATTTAATCTTTAGATATCTACATGTGTTTTGTAGAAACTTTACATAGTTTTATAAAAGAAAAAAGTTTATAATCAAAGTTAATAAATGCAAAAATGCAACCGTGGAGAATTTTATATTTATATTAATATTACATTTTTTACAGTGCCGGTACTGGACATTACACTGCCTTTGCCGTGCATGACGGTCAGTGGTTCCATTTTAACGACAGCTCCGTGCGACCGGCGACTACCGACGCTGTCGCCAAATGTAAGCCTTACATTCTGTTCTACGTGCGGAGAGAGTTCTCCATTCCACCCCCATTGTGACGTCGTTTCTCCGACAAGAAGCCCCGTCCTGGCAGTGCGAGCCTCGACGACGATGACGATAATATGGATGTGGAGCGAATAAAAGAGAACTGAGCGAACGTTCCTTGCGGAATCTCGCACGAAACGAACAACCAAGCGGAAGAAAAGCAAGAGGATCGCCGGATCGCGCCTCGAGAAATCGGAAGACGGAGACTCGTCCGCTTATCGCATTAATGATTGCTCATCGTTGCCAAATCGTACAATCTTGTTAGAAGCATAATTCGTCCGCGTTCGTTATCGCGCCTCGACAAACTGCGACCTTTGAGACGCGATTAGGATAACCGGCTGCAGATATAATTGCGCCGCACGCAGTCGCTTGAGCGCGTTTCTCCTCGTGCTTTATCAGGCGTCGTTAAGATAATTCGCGCAACTCTCGAATATCCGTGAAACAAGAAATTGGTATACGAGCACGTATCGCGTCATAGATAATTACTCTCACAATTTTTCCAATCATGTTTGTTATTTTTGTTGAAAATACTTTGGCCTGTCTATTCATCGTTGTTTTACAGAGATAGGACTATTTTTTTTCTTTTGGACAGCATCTTTTTTCGTTTACTTAGTTTCGATCAAGATCATAATTGTAACATAAAATGTTTTTATTTGAAAATATGTGGAATTAGAAAAAAAAGCTTGCGCTCTTGCAATGTATATTTAGTTAAAATGAATCGAGGTGCTCATTTAGACGATGCGCTTGGATGAGTATCGAATCGTACCGAGTTATTTGCTTGGAAATAAGTGAAAGAGAGAGAGAGAGAGAAAGAAAGATTCGGAGAAGGCGAGAAGATGCGAGAGAGCGTTACGATGTATGATTGATGCCGGACACGCATGCGTAACGTGTCAATGTACGTAGCACGCATGCGGTCAACGTGTACGTGGAGGTGCGCGATTGTATGCGAAGCGTGTGCTGGCGGGCGAAGCTTCTCTTCCTTTCTCGGTAATGGTAGAGAGAAGGAAAAAAAACAGAAGAAGAGAGAAAGAGGAAGGTAGAGAGACAGAGAGAAAAAGAAGGAAAGAAAGATGGATGACCGTGCTCGAGGTGGATCGCGGAAACGCATTGCCTTTAGCGTCGATTTTCTTACTTTACGCTCTTAAGCGGCGGCGACCGTCGACCGCCCTTCCCCCTCCCCTTCCCTATCCTTGGTCGGATCGATTAAAGCCCTCCTCGGTAGCGGAATAATCGCGTTCCTCGTGTGTAGTTCTTAAAAACGCGAAAAACGACTGGTCTTCTCGGTAGATAGATCTTTTTCTAGGCTTAGCGCACGCGGCATCGTTGTTTCGAGGGAGCTGATAAAAGCAAGTACCGTATAGGGCCAACACAGCGTTACTTCTCAAGCGATAAAACACCTCCCTTTATCCTTCCCCTTCCCATCCTGGATCCGTATCTCGGATCTCCCTCACCTCGTTCCTTCATTATACATGCGTTATTCCATGTATACTCACGCATGCACATACACACACGCGCAACGTATATGTGTTCATGCACGTACATACGCGCATGCATGAATGTCACGTGTTCCAGGATCCTTTATCCTTTCCCAATTCCTTTGAGTCCTCCTTCTCCTCATCTCACGAAAGGCTCTCGACGACTCTTATGTGATTATTTAAAGACTTATTTTTTCTATAATGATAACGATAATAATAATAAGTTAATGCGTAGCGAAGAAACGTTTTATTAAGGCGATAAACTGCGATAACTGCGCATCTTCGGCAAAGACTTACTCTTCGTGTATGAATATGACGTACGGAAGTAAGCGTGCAGCAACAATATTATTGAGAACAAGTGGAATATGTACGAACGGCGAATAAATAAAGAAAACACATGACTCGACGACACGCATCGATTACGTGCTACCAAAGCTCTGTCCGATTCAATCCTGTCGCAATCCTGAATATTCGTAAAATTTATGTCAATTCCCTGTGCTGTTCTTTATTTATTTAGACCGTTTATTCTCTCTCCTTTTTTTTTGTTATACACTTAATGAACGCAGATTTAAAGTTGAAATAGTACTTTGTCAACTATTCCGAGAAAATTTATACACGAGCTGTTATAATTACATGCGAAGTTGTTATAAAATCTAATTGTTACATTCTAATTCTATATGTACAAAAATTTAAGAAAAATCAAATGTTACTGCATGTGAGAATTGCAAAGGTAAGATCATTAAAACAAATATTGTTAAATATCGATAGTTGATATTTTACCTCAGCCGACAATGAAGTCTAGTACCAGTACCTGGTATCTCATCAAGAGTATCAAAGCACACCTTGTTTTCTTATGTATCGTCTGGAGGAAAAGTATCAGTTGTCAATGTCTCAGAAATATTTTACAAAATTGGCAAAATTCATTTCTTTCTTTTCCACAGCAGGAAACTGGATCTCTTCGTTCTTGAAGAGGAAATTTGCTCCCTTATTGACGAGCGATATCTGGATGGCGCGATTATACGACAAAGTCTCCAGCAGATGCAACCAGTCAGATCTTCTATCTCTTCAGGTAGAATATTTGATGTAATATTTCGATCGATACTCTGTTTACTTTCTAATGTCACATGATCAGAAGTTGCATCGCAATGCTGCTTCGGAAAGCTATAATCAATATTTGACTTTGATAATTTATCGGAGTGGAGATCCCTTGCGAGAAAAATCGAATATGGATCTTTTGGAGAACTGTCCATCAAACTGTTTGCTTTGTCCTTTGCTCGCGACGTGTTATCTTTTTTTATATTAAAAGATGACTCTTTGATGTCTTGAATCCATAAATCATCTCGATCGTATTTTCTGTAGGGATGTTTCCGAGCGATTGCTTGAAGGCTCTCCGTCTTCTTCAGGATATTTCCGGAAGAGCATTTTTCAGCACGATGTTCGATCCAACGATTGTTCGAAAACTTGTCAAAATTTATTTTACGAGCTTCCTCCGTCGACGAATCGCCCGAACAGCTGTTTGCTTTAGAGTCCACTTGACAGGCGCGATTTTCGTAAATGACCTTGGTTGATTCCAAAGTTTTATCATCGTTCACCTGCTTCGGGGCTCTCCTCGGTTTCGAGGAGAATATTCTCTGCACAAATGCCTTCATTCGAGATTTCGAGGACGATTCAACTTCTTTTTGTTCCTGTGCGACGCAACACAGAATATCAGCCACAGTATCCTCCAAACCCGAAGTAGCCAATCTCGTTATACTAGGATGCGTCTGCAACCGATGCATAGTCTTCTCCTCCAGCTGATCCTTCGTTTTTTCCCTGCGGTCGAGATTTTTATCGGGCAACAGATAATCGCTCACGTCTTGATGTTTAATTGCCGATGCTTCGGAGATCGTGAAAGGGAAACGTTCTTGGCTCTTCTTCTTCCTCTTCGACTCGTAGTTCAAGTTAAATGTCGACGACGATATTTCGGATAACTCTCGTTTTCTTTGAATCCGAAACGCCATCTTCTCGGATTTCGCAAAATTTGGATCAAACCGATCGCCCTTAAATGCAGGAATATCGCCAGCTTGTTGCTTTCCAGCGCCTGTCTCGATCTCTAGCGACGGATCCAACCGAAGATGTTGAATCGTAAACGGGGAGGATGGATTGCACGTTCTCTCTGTCGCTGATTTAAAATGCTCTTTTGTCCGCAGGTATAATTCATCTGGCTTCTCGTCGTACAAGCTATAATAATCTCTAGCCTTCGCGTCTTCAGGGTTTTCTTCGTCGTTAATGGACGCGCAGTCGTCCTCCGTTCTCCAGGTGGCATTTTCCTCCGCATTTCTCAACGACTCGTTCTTCTTGCTTTCAAACATATACGGCGACTGGGTGACGCTTGTGACGTCATCCCCGCTCTTCCGAGACATGCTACGATCCGATCTGGACCGCGCATCATCGTCAATCTTCGCGTAATCGCGATCACCGGAGTAAACCGTTTTGTCAAAGAGCTGGCAAGTTTTTCTCCCAGATCCAGTCGCGGGGAAACATCGCGTTCTGTCGTAGATATAATCGCCGAACGGGGTGCTCTGAGGATCCCGTGAATTCGAGGACGTTGAACTTTCAAAGACGCGATCGTTGATCTGGTATTTCATCGTCCCTATGTTTACTTCACTTCTATCGTTGATAAAGATTGTTTGCGCATCGTTCTTATTTATCATCTCCGAATGTTTGCAGCACTCCGAAAATTCGGCTGGTGTAATCTTACTGTTGATTCTTACAGGTATTCTGGAAGGAACGCGCGACAGGGATTTTCTAGGCGACTCTGAGGATCTCGGTACACGCCACGTTTCGCCTTTCGCTGGGAAATTCGATGCGTCGATCGTGTTCTTAGCGTGGCGATAAAAGTCCTCGCGTTTCCTCGAGACATTCTCCTCCTGTCGTTTCCGCTTCAGAGACACATCCGATAGGGCTCTGATCAACGCGTGAGGATCCAGAGATCGCGTGGCCGAATATTCGCGACTACCTGCTGACGTCGAGTACGAAATGTCTTGCGAGTTCAATGCGAGTGCCGGAACTTTCGTCAGGATTTCCTGGTCGTAATTTTCCGACGTGTCGATGTCGTTATTTTGACGTCTTCTACTCGAGAGAGCTTCTTGCTGCAAATATATTTTAGGCGTACAAGATGACCGGCTGCGACCTTCGCTCTCGAATGGTCCTGAAGCTCGAGACGATGATAAAACAGCCTCTTCTAAAGTGTCACTTTGAATCCTTTCAGTGAAATGCGGAGTCTCGACGACTTCTCGAGTATAAAGACTCGTTAATCGATTCCATTCTGAAGTATCGAGAACATTTCTGTCGATGTTTCCGGAAGAATTTGCCTCCAAATTTAACTGGTCCATCGGACAATCGAAGATAAATTGATATCTGTCACCGCGATGATGTATTTCCGTTTCTTCTTTCTGATTGCGTTTATCCTCAAAGCCCAAGGACTCGATCTGTTTAAATTCGTTATACAGGGTGATTCAAAACAACCGTTTGTCCTTAAAATGTCGTATTCCTGACTCAATTCTAAGACGATTTTTCCTTTGCCAAAATTTTATCCGAAGCTTAGTTTTTGAAATATAAAAAGAAATAGTTAGCGAATTACAGCACGAGTACGGGCGGTAATCAGGAGCGGCGCACCACATTATCCGACGCGGGCGATTACGTGGGCGCTCGAAGCGATCAGCTGTTTGTTACACGCGGCGTTTTGTGTGTGTGTGTGTGTGTGTGCGTGTGTGTGTACGCGTATACACACACACACACTCTCTCTCTCTCTCTCTCTCTCACTGATTCTTACCTTGTAGAGATGTTTGATGTCCTTTGACGAATAATTGTTGCCTGACTGGATACAATCCGATATTGACACACTGTGACACACTGCATAATGAAATCATTTTTTTGTAATAAATTCTATTGACACTTTGACTCACGCACTTGATTAAAAATTATTGTAATAAATAACTGATTACAAATTACAACACATAATCACAATCTGAGATAATTTTCTCTTAGAATTTGCCCTGAAAATTGTGGTAATCGTAGGATAATATTGTATGGAAAAAATTTTATTAGAATTCCTCTAATTAATATTTATCACATTCAAATAATATCTATCACAATAAAATATGAAATATGTGTGATTAATTTTACTAAACTGTATAGTAAAATTAATCAAACATATTTTATATTTTCTTGTGATACATATTATTATTTTTAATATGATAAATAGTAGAGAAATTCTAATAAAATTCTTTCCACATCATAATGTCCTACGATTACCATAATTTTCTAGGTAAATTCTAAGAGAAAATTCTCTTAGATTGTGATTATGATTGTCGTGTCCTTGCCGTGTAAACTATTGCCGTCCGCATTGAGTAACGTGTGCTGTGCGCGCCGCGCGTTTTTACAAGTAATTTTTAATAATTAATCAAAACACTGAGAGAATTTTCTCTTAGAATTTACCCTAAAAGTTATGGTAATTGTAAGAGAATATGGTATGGAAAGAATTTTAT